CAAAAAAGTTTGCCCCCACTACCCACGGACTTTCACCTAAAACCCTCTCGCAGGAAGAGTGAAACAGAAAACTCCGATTTATACGCTAAATCTGTACGCCGTATAAAAACATATTTCAAAGAGATGAAAAGAGAAGAAATGTAGCTGAAATAATTTTGAACAAAGATGTTTATTAGCATCTTTTTCTGCAGAATGAACCGTGGTCTCAGTGTTTGGGAAAGTATGTAGTATTTATTTTCATATTTTTACATTTTTTTACTTTCTTTTACTGTACTATAATGTGATCTAATTTAATGGTATATCCTAACTTATTTTCTTTGAAATATATTGTTTCCTGTTATTCAGTAAAATCGCATTGTTAAACTGGCTAGCTCATTTATTCTGTTTTAAGTCCAGATAATTTGACTTTGTCTTTGTTATTTTTGTATCATCAATACACACAAAACCTGTAAAGTATCGTATTACTGTGACCATTGAATTGGATTGTCGCTATTCAGAAGCACCCTACAATAGGGTTGATTTATGGGGGAGCACTTATCCCATATACTACCTAAGAATGGCGAGAGAGTTTGATTTGACCATCTCAAGTAACACTTGCTATCGAGACAGCGTACAGTAAGCACCTGACGTCCCTTCTTTTGCGCCTCGGATGGCGTCGCGACGGTCAACACTGCAACGCTAATCAACTACGAATACATCAATATCTCAAAAGGTAAGTCTACATTCGTTTGTACAGATAACAATATGAGTTAGAGCTAGTTAATTCTCGTAATTTATTTACAATTAAATATTTGCTATTTTCTTAAATATACTCAAAATATTGCATTTTTTCTTCAGTATTATTCTAATGTCATTTAAGCAGCGACTTTTTAAGTTTTAGGCAAAACACTCAGAACTAACACTACTGGAGTGATCTTGATTTTGAATATCAGTTATGCACGTAAAATCAATGTTTTAAATAAAATTCTTATCAGCTCTACGGTAATAGTTATATCTCTTATGAATAGCGTATTCTACCAACAAAGATCAAATTGCGTTTTTTAAGTAGAGTGCATCTTCCGTACTAAATTTTTGTTTTGGTACAAATAAATTCAGTTTCTATAAAGCTGTTTTTTATTAAATTAACAATGCACCTAATCCTTAGACTAACCAGCATTTTAAATTTAACCTAAACTGCTACTTTACTGCCCTAGGTATTCCCAATGGTTCAGCTTAAAAACTAATCATTGTTTTTGCACACTACATTTTCCATTAATTCTCTATTTCTTGCAATATGTATCAGAGATTGTATGTCGTTAATCCCTGTCCATTGCCTTATGTTTCGGAGCCAGGACATTTTCTTGCTTCTCATTCCTCTCTATAAGTTGGAGGAACCGGTATTTTTCATTTCGCATGATGTGACCTAGATACGCCGTTTTCCTTTTCTTGATGGTTTCGAAAAGTTGGCGTTCTTGGTTTATTCTTTTAAGGACATCTATATTTGTGATTGTCGCTGTCCATGGTATTTTTAGGATACGGCGATAGAGCCATATACGGTGTATATTAACCGTATATTAACTGACATTTATATATTTATCACTATCACACAAGTTCAAAAGTCTTTGTACGTTTGAGCCTGTGGACTATGTCTTGATTATCTAACAGTTCTAACACTTCTAACAGTATTGTTTGTATGGTTGTGGAGTCGGTTTTCGTTATTCTTGGCAATCTTCTTTATTTATTTTTTAATTGTTGCTATACGAAGTTTCCTATGTAGGTCTTCGTTGCGGTCATGGCACGGAGCATTGACTATGCTTCTTAGTATTCGGCTGTGGACTCTCTAAAGGCAAGCATATTTACTCTCACTAGGTCAGCTCCATAATTGTAACCCCTAGGACCACACTGATTTGAGTATTTATTTGTAAACTAATACCTTGTTCTTGATTGTAAGTTGTAAGCTTCTACCTAATAACCAATATAATTTCTTGTATTTCAGTTTTAGTTCTTCTGTTTTCTTTCTGACATGTCCCTGTCACTTTAGTTTGCTATCCAAATGTAATCCTAGGTATTTCTGTTTTCTTGTAGGGGACGATTTTATTTTTTAGTCCAATTGGGTGATTAATTATTTTTTTTTTGTAAGTGAAATCGATATGGGCAGATTTCCCTTTAATAATTTTATGCACATTTATTATTCCAAGTGTTTATTTTGTTTACTGTATTTTGGAGGTGCCTAGTTGTTTCCTCGAATGTTTCAATGACTGCGAGTATTGCAATGTCGTCTGCAATTATGGTCAGTTTATAATTGTGTGTAACAGGACTGTCATAGGTGTATAATAAATAAAGTATGGGTCCCAGAACACTACTCTGTGGGATTTCTGCTTTGATTGGTCGAAGTTCTGAATATTCACCTTCATGTTTAACTCAAAGGTATGTCTTCAAAATATGACTGTAATTAATGAACATACTGGATGGGAAGATGTCTTTTTAGCTTTAGTAACAAGCCTTTGTGCCATACCTTTTCAAATGCTTCTGCTATATCTAGGAAAATAGCTGAGCATATTCTATTCTCTGCTAGAGATTTCTATATTTGTTATGCGATATATTTTTTCTATTGTTGAGTGTTTATTGTGCATTCCAAATTGGTAAAAAGAAATAATTTCTTTGTCGTTAAGTATAGGTTGTATTCTTACTAGCAATATCTTTTCGAATAATTTCTAAATAATTCTTAGCAACGATATTAGTCTGTACGATTCTATTTGATTTGCTGGTTTACCTGGTTTCGAAATCATGATTAGTTTAGATGATTTTTACGTTATTGGAACATATTGTAACCTGAATACTGCATTTATATTGTTTGTGATTTTAAAGATGGCCTTCCTAAGTAGTTGTTGTAGTATTTTTTCTGTTATTTAGTCAAATTTCGGTACCTATTTGGGATGAATATTGTTTTTCATTAATTTGGTTATTTTTTTAGGGGTGGTAGACTTTATTATTCTTGATTAGTATTGTTCACATCGTATTCAGTACTCTCATCAACATCGTTTTCTGCTTTTATCATTATTATCATGCTTTTCATCATTATTTTACATTTAGTGATTTTGGAATACATTCTCGTAAGTATAAAGCGAACAGAATTGCTTTATGTTTTTCCGTCACGTGCCCATGTTTGATTTTCTTTTCTAATCGGCGTAGTCTGTTGCCCCTATTTAGTCTTTTACCTGGCTTTTCTTTTTCTTTACACCAGTTCTCGAACTTCTTTGGGATAATTTTGACCTTTGGTTTTTCTTATAATTTGTTTGGTATTGTTCCATGCTGCTTTATGTATATTTATGGTTAGTTTTTCTGCTTCTTCATAAAATTGTTTATTAGTTTTGATTGGTACATTTAGCTCAATTCTTAATTTTATCACTTCTCAACTCCTGTCTAAAGCTAGCCCAGTCAGTTCTGTTATTGGTTAGGCTAGAGTTATTTTCTCTTAGTATAATATGCTCACTGATTGTAAGTAGTATTAGAAAGTGATCAGAACTGGGACCCTCAGCTTTTTCTATTTTTTAATTAAGTCGGGTGTTTTATTTTTATCAGTGGGTAAATATGTGGGTTTCTAGTTGAGTGCAATTTCCATTTATTATTTTTTTTATTGCTGCATGTGTAGCATTTGTGTTTTCTTTCGTATGTATTAAAAATCGCCTTTATGTATTAAAACACCGAAATATTATTTCAATCCTTTTTGCGTCGCCAAGATTTATAAAAAAATACGTTATAAAGTTTGTTTATATAACACAGGTAGGTATTTCTTCGGTATTTCTTTGATCGAAAGCCGCTTTAGGATATTTTGCGCGTCAAATAAACAGGAATGTGTTGGTTTATGCTTTGTTTATACCGAGTGGGGTAAATGATTTTCAAAAGATTATCACTCTCGGTGCCATGACAAGTTAAAAAATTATAATAAGTAAAATTATAAATATTAGGGAGTGGCTAACTGTCATATAAATTATTCTTATAAAGATTTAATATTTGATCTTGCCATATGACAGTTAGAAAAAAACTAATGCAAACCTTATTTATGGTTAGATATGTACCAAATGTCAAGAAAATAATGCTGTTTTAAAAAAAGGTTAACCTTAGTAAGTAAGCTCAATTTAAGATATTTTTTATTTTATAATAATTTATTTCGGCGACAAAATGTCGCCCAACCATAATTTAAGTTCTTATAGTATCCCCAACGTCTAGAGTTGTAAATCGATAACAACATTGTAAGCTGTTTTTGTTATTTTGTTAGTATTATTTATATTTGTAACTGTTTATGGTGAGATATTAATAAATATGTAATGTTTCTCCCTATACCAAGGGTATTATTTCCTTAAAAAAATTCTAACACTTTTGATGTATTTTTTAAGAAAAAAAGCATATCTTTCCATTCAGCAGAAAGATTCTTGTTAGCAGCGTCCATTTTAAATAGCGTAGGAACCTTCTTGTTTTGTGTTGTCCAGGAAATCCATGCAAGTACCCTTTGAATCTCATTTTGTAGTACTAGTAGATAATTTTCTAGTCCCCCTTAATATTCACTTTCTCACAACCCAGCTCTCCAAACAAGCCAAGAGTAGCTGTTAGCAAACGTTCCGGTTTGTTACCCTACCCCATCAATTTCTGTCCTCAATTTTCAACCCTCTATAAGTGATCCCAGCGTGTTCGGCAATATAACTGCTACACCTGTAACTCTCTACCATTTGTATGTTTTTAGCATTAAAGTCTGCAATAATTATAAATTTTTCTCTAAGCATGTTGAATAACTGAACATAATTTTTATGCATCTGCTAATGTTACATTAATTTTTTTTAACATTTATACTAGCTGATTGATTGGCTTTAATCTAATTGTTTACTATTACTGCTGCTCTTTCACTAGCTGTGTTTTTGGGGTGAAGAGTTTGATATATTTTGGATTTGATTAAATCTTGTGGATGAAAAACACCTAGGAGATTAGATATAATAATTATATTATGTACGATAAACAACATTTAATTATTAAAATAATAATTTATTTTTGTTATTGATTTTAAACTTTTGGTATAAACATATTTATAATTTATATTCCCAACTGAAAATATAGTTTACAATAAGTAATAAGAAAATAAGTTTACAATTATATAAGCAAATTTACTATTTAAAATGTGATAGTACTATATTATTATCTAGCGCTAGAATAAAAAATCCATTTTACATAATACACATTCCTTCATTCACTATTCATGATAATTTTAAATATTGGTATGTGTCTTTAAAATCTGAATGGATTGACTAAAAATATCAGATCCTAAAATAGATCCAATATTATTAAATATTCCAACTGATCACATTTCTTTTTTTTTTTCTCTTCCGCCTTAAATTTCATCACGAGATCAGCTCTGCTGTATTTTTTACTATTACAGTTTGATACCTATTTTTTAGCGGTTTCCACATCATCTTTATCTTCTTCAATTATAGAACTAATTGTAACATTATGCATCTGTTCTTTGTCTTCATTATTGGCATCTTCATTCAACAACAAATCTGGATTTAGGAAAGATTGTCTTCTGCTCTTCTTTCGTACTCTAAGTTCTGGAGGAAGAGGCTTTTCTTTAGTAAGTAAAATGGGTCCTAATATTGTTGTTAGTAAGGCCCCAGTCGGGGCAGTAAGAATAATAGATAATATACAGCATTGCATAATTTTTTGTGCTTCAACTACTTCTTCGTTCTTTTTGTTTTCTAGTAAAGAAAGTGCTACAGGTCCTAGAGCAGCCTATAATAAAAATATTTTTATTAGTTCACCAAAAAAGGATACAAAATTATAGTAGTAGTTTAATCAGAATAAATTGCATTTAATGCATGATTTAAATGTATGACAATAAAAATAAAAATTTTATGTATGGATGAAGTGACAGCTAAAGAGGAATTTGTCTCTATGATAAAATAATTTTTTTCTGCGGAAACTTAAAATATTTATTGAAGATACCTGTGGGGTCGTTTACGTATTACGTATCGCAATTTGGGGGTTGGGGATCTTGTAGAACGTCGCAGGGCATGACAGATGCGGGTGGGGAGGATAGAACAACACGTTACGTAACATTGTTTTTTACTTAAATAAAAAACCACGAAATTAAAATCTCTCAAGTTGGTAATTCTTTTCGTTTATATTTTACAGAAAATTCTTTGGGTGCATTGACTGTAAAATTGACAACTACGAACGATGTTTTGACGAAATATAGAAAGCCCGAAGTTAGCTTACAGGATCCAGTACACCTTAATCTGGTATGGTATTATCACATCTGTGAATATCAATATTTCTTTCAAATGATTCAATGCGCGAACTAATATTGCTGTTGCCGCTCGAGGAGTGCATTGAAATATGTATTTCCAGATTTACTGCAGCCAGCCCAATGCTTTCAAAATTTAAGCAAGATCGTTGTACCTAGTTAGTCAGATAAAGGATCATGCAAGTATTCACCACTTCTTGTATAGTTGACCGTTGACCTGGCGCCTCCACTGAAAGAATTTAAGCAGGTGCCTTATGATTCCTTTTGTCCATCATTACAATGCGATCTTAAGAACGGAATAAGTGCAATCAGTAGGATCTAGTTCTCATTCCACAATAGTGCATCCTACAGCGACTTGCTGCCAAAAGAAAAAATGAGCTTCTCTACATTATGCGCTACAATGAAACATTGCCTGATGTTGCCGATTGGCTTGTCGAATACAAAGTTGATGCAAATGGTTTAGGTTTGATAACTCCGAATCCCCCTTTGTCTGTTATCTGGATGTTACTATTGAAAGAATCTGAATTTCTGAATAACCCATGAACAGAGGAGTAGTAATTGCGATTAAATAGTTTTTTATATACCTACCTCTGTCTTCCATTCTTATTAATAAAATATTTAGGAACTCTATCACACATATACTCTGGAACAGATATTGGATCTGGAACAGATATTGGATCTGACCATAATTCATCAATCACCGACGCAAGAGTCAGACTAAAACGAATAGACAAAAATCATCAGCAGAGAAATTTAACCATTTCAGATGATAACAAAAGTAAAATAGAAAATAATGTAAAACATTACATAAATGAAATGAGAACAACCGAAAACTTTGAGAAAACATGTAAATTATGTCGTGAACATAATATGATCAAGATAATTCTTGCAAGTGACCTAAAAGAACATAGTGTAACTAATGGAATAAAAAACATATAGAAAACAGAGAGAAATAAAAATACGAGTGGCTAAAGATAAGTGGATGGCGGATACATAATCAGAAATGGAAGAAATAGAAAAAAAAAGCGTAACATAATATTCAATTTATAGCACAACAATTACCTAAGGAATGGCTGGAGTAATTTTTACAGCAATTTCGAAGAAACAGCGGGAAATCATATCCGTCTAATACAGATTAATTAGTCAGATAAGCCACATTGATTTCTTTTTCCTTAGCATGGTTCTTTGCGAAAAAGACCTAGATGAATCCCAGTTGGGATTTAGGAATGCGCTAAGTACCCCTGACGCACAGAGCTTCAAACACTACTACGCTGATCACTAATCAATGCATTACTGGTACTGGGAATAAAGGACGGTTCATTTATACCGTCGATGGTGACGTGTTTTGGGTTAAGGTCGGCGTGGAGGTTAGAGTTGTGACACGATACACAAAACTTTTAGTGCGTTTTTTGTGGAGTCTTAATGTGCTGTCTTCTTGATGCTTTTTTAGAAACTTTTTTTTAGAAAATTTCTATTTTTGAGCAATGGGATCACACTTTGAGATCTACCTCTGTAGATGACTTTGTAAGCAGAAAGCCCTTGGCAAGAAATTAAATACCTTACATACTTTTAGAATACTTTTCTTTTCGATTCATCTATTTGTTATAAATGTGTAAAATATATATACATACATATATATATATATATATATATATATATATATATATATATATATATATGTATATATATATATATATACATATATATATATATATGTATGTATATATATATATATATATATATACATATATATATATATGTATATATATATATATATATATATATATATATACATATATATATATATATATATATATATATATATGTATATATATATATATATATATATATATATATATATATATATTTAAGTCTTTTGCATTTAAATAAATTTTATATGAAGTTTTATATGGAGAGAAATAAAGAAGGCTTATAACTGCGTTCGAAACCGAATGCTTAGAATTTCTTAAGAAGAAATCCCCAAAGAGCAAATAAGTCACTGCTAAGACAACCACACATTAGGAAAACTATACAAGTAATGGAACAAATTTTTTTTTAGTTTTTCGAGAAGATGCTTTGGATAAGGTTACCATACAAAAAGTAAAGGGTAAAACAGGAAGAGGCAGATTATCCAGAAAATATGAGAATCATATTATCGCAACCGTGTTCCACTGTCAGAGCTGTCAGAAAAAGATATTTATGTCTGAATTGTCCTCATAAGTGATACAGATAAAACTAAACTGTTAGAATAATTTAATTAACTAAGATATATTCAGCTATTACAAATAATAAATACTGTAGTAAGGCTATTGAAAAAAAGTTTGAATCATGGACGTATAAACACAGATGGACTCAGTTATTTATATAAAATTGTGAAGTCAAAATTATTGTTGTTTGTTTGTGTTTAAATGACTGCGGACACTAAATCCATTCGCCAATCTTACAATTTGAGGTGTAGTGTGTGTGTGTGTGTGTGTGTGTGTGTGTGTGTGTGTGTGTGTGTGTGTGTGTGTAGAGTAATTGTCTTGATACTTAGCAAAGTCGACGTTATTGTCTTTGCTAAGAGACGCTAATTGTATCCGAACGTCTGCGGTCCCTCCGGTGTGTACCGATCACACAAGGATAGAAATTATTTTCATTTATTAATTTTTTTAATAAACGAAAATTTCCACCCAGGTGGGATTCGAACTCACGACCTTTAGGTTTAAAGGCAGGCGCTCGTACCACTGAGCCACAGAGGGGGTTGTCAAAATTATTTGAATAGGTCACAATCTAGTTTTGTTTTAAAATTTCTTATTAGCAAGTCGCTGAAAATATTACTCCGTATTTTATACTCTATAGGTGCTATCAAACCAAAATAATAATTTATTGGTTCGATTAATATATTTAATTGTAATCAAAATATCAAGTGTGCACATAGTGTGCATTATCATTTAATAATAGCGTATAATAGATAGCAATCAATTATTTTATATGTAGAAGCACTGAAATCTATTTATAAATGGCAACGGTTGTTTACATTTCTCTGTCTTATGGATCTACGTCAAACTTCAAATGCTGTTCCATGTTTGTTTACTTTTTAGAGTAAATGAGGAAAAAGTTATTTTTCCATATTTTGGCTGTATTTTGAGTGATATTTGTGAAAAGTGAAATAAAATAAACGAAATATTTACATCCCGATCTCTCATTTCATTTGTAAGTACATACAATTTACATTATTTAAGATGAGGAAATGAGGAAGCGTGTTTGTTTACATTTTAATAGGCGTACCATTGGGTTTATTCATGTTCATTAATGTATTGAATAAGATATGAGTTCATTAAAATTGTAGACATTTATAAATTGTAAGTAGACATCATCTGAATAAAAAAGATCTGTTTAGTACCTTTTTAATTTAATATTTCTCATGGATACAAATAAATTAGTGAAATGAATAAAACTCATTTATTTTTCTATGTAGGTTTCCCAATAATATTGACGATCGAACTATTTGGGTAGCAAATTAAGGATAAAACATAAAGATTTTTTATTGTAGCATTATTTTGATACTATTAATAAATTAACTTGAATTCAACTATATTTAATTGTATTAATTTTAAAGCAAATAAAATTGTATTTTAATTTTTCTATAAAGACGTGATTTGTTAATAGTTTATTTGTTAAAAAACTCTCGTTTTTTTTAAATTCTTTGAACGTGTTTTTATACATTATTACTACTTCCAATTTTTAAAATCTGAATAATTACGCGCGAGTAAAAATTCAAGCACGCTTATGCTCATCGCGGAAGCATCACATTCTATCGAAGCTTCAAAACATTATGTGTTAAAGGTATCTTATTGCTGTGTCCATCTATGTTTATACGTCCATGGTTTGAATAAAGAATTACGAAATTATTTTTTTAAAAATCATAAAAACTTTTTGAAGCTTATAAGGAGATATTAAAAATATTAAAATTTTATCAGGATTTTAAAATACAACTGAGCAAATTTAGGAGTTTATGGTAAATTAAATTTTACCTTAACTAAAATCCCTAATAGAAGACTTGACTTATATCCTAGTGTGTCTTCTTCAGACAGTTCTCCGACCACTTTAGACGAATTCATGGAAACTATACATGGCATGAAAAATAACAAATCTGGTGGTGAAGATTGTATTTTGGTTAAAATGTGAAAATATATCGTAGACGATCTTGACACGGTAAAGCATCGTCACAATATTATTCTTAATATTTGAGAATTAGAAACTCTACTGTATGGAAATAGCACTTATTTACCCACTATGTAAAAAGCGAATAAAAGTGATTCAAATAATTATCGTGGAATCTCTTTGCTTTTAGCAACCTATCTAGGCTGTTTTTAAATAAAGCAGAGAAAATTTTAGTTCCACAATTGAGTGAGTACCAAGTAGAGTTCTATGACTCAATCAATAGAAAAACAATGAAGGAGTTTGACCTTTTTGAATTTGGCTAAGATAGTAAAACTGTAAACTTAATAAATGTCATCAAAGGTAAAATTTAGAGGAAAAGTATTAGATTTATTTAAAATTCAGACAAGGTGTCAGACAAGGTGACTTGATTTCTCCTCTACTGTTTAACTGTACATTTAACTGTGAAGATTATTAGAGAGAAAACAACAACGATACCGTCAAGTAATAAAATACAATTTGAACACAAAACAAAGAGTCTTAAAGTAAACTGTGTAGCTTTTGCTGATGATCTGGATTATTTAGTTAGTAATGTTAATGAAGATTAAGCTCAGTTATCAAGCCTTTAATTAATTGCCGCAAAAATTGTCATTAAAACAGCATTCAATAAAACTGAGCTTACTACAAACATCAAAAATGCACCTTCTTATATAAAAATTACCAAAAAAAAGTCAAACAGTTCAAAAAGTTTAAATAAATTGGAGAGTTTATTACACTTGATGGTGTATGAAGAGTAAAGTGGGGTACGGGCAAAAATGCCAGTTTAGTTCAGACACAAAAACCAAAAACCAATGTATATAACTTTGACGATATCAACATAAAATATAACATTAAAAAAGAATTTAATAATGAAATAAAAAACAGAAAAACAACTAGAAGATCCAGAAGAACTATGGAGTGAATTTAAAAACCAAGTTAACGAAATCTCCAAAAACAATGATTATAGAAAAACTTAATCGAGAAAAATAAATGGATGGCAGACGACATCTTAAAATTAAAATTAATGGAATAACGTCGACTGATAAAATCTAATGAATGAGAGTATAGACATCTGCGGAGAAGAATAAAAAGGAGATTAAATTAGCCAAAGAAAAATAATAAGAGAAAGTTGCGGCGAAATGAAGGATGTAATATCTAAACGCGACTTATTTAATAGGTACAAAAAACTAAAAGAAATGAGTAACATATCTAAAAAAAGAGTTTCCTCTGTACTCGTTAACAGATGTCAACAAGAAGAAAATAATGGTAGCGGTATATATAAGAGTTGTTTGAAGATGACAGGAATAATATTGCCGAACTATACTAAAACTATTGTTCTGAAGCTATTTTCTTGTGGCATTTTAAATTAATTACTATTTAACTGGGAATAAGCCACAATTAAAGATAAAAATACGTTTATTGACGTTTCAATTTCCACTTCGGAAATCGTTCTCAAAATACAAACAAACAGTAAATTAAACCAATTTTGTTTTTTGTTACATAGTGAAAAATTCTTCTAATAATTTAATTTTATCTGACTCATTTATATTGATAATTCAAACATACATTATGCATTTTAAAGTAGACGACTTTAAAATGATATTGCCAATATTGTTGAGTTGCGCTCCTGGGACGCCTTTACTTATAAGATAGTTCATTCGGTTACATAAAATCAACTTTAACTTGAGAATATCCGCCAGAAAAAAATCATAGCATGTAATTCGTCTTTAAAAAGACAAACACATGACATGATGACAGTAAAATTCTCCTTATGCGATCAATTTTATTTAGGTGAAACATCAAGGCCATTAAATGTTAGAATAAGTGAACATCAATCTTATATTAAAAATAGAGAATTTGATAGATCTCAAATATGTAAACACGCATGGGATAATGAACATAGGGTTCAATGGAATAATTCACTAAAAGAAACGGATGGTAAAAAAAGAAAAATCAAAGAAGCGGCTCTAATTATGCTGAAGGCCAATTGTGTCGCAAATTCCTCGGCAGAATGTAGTAGGATCTAGTTACCAATATTGAAAGAGGAAGTTATTAATAAGAAAATACCAGTATTAGTAAGTCAGTAACATATAGAGGATACATCATTTATATTTTTTTAAATAACGAAACATATTAAAGTAGAATTTTGGTGTTTATTGAAGGTAAACTAAATGCACGAACAAATACTTACCATGTCGGGATAGTATTATGTCGGGAGGTTTTTTTTCCTGGTTTTTCCCTCATAATTTACTATGGAATCACTAACAGGAAAATTTTACTGTCATCATGTCATGTGTTTGTCTTTTTAAAGACGAATTACATGCTATGATTTTTTCTGACGGATATTCTTAAGTTAAAGTTGATTTCATGTAATCGAATGAACTATCTTATAAGTAAAGTCGTCCTAGGAGCGCAACTCAACAATATTGGCAATATCATTTTAAAGTCGTCTACTTTAAAATGCATAATGTATGTCTGAATTGTCAATATAAATGAGTCATATAAAATTAAATTATTAGAAGAATTTTTCACTATGTAACAAAGAACAAAATTGGTTTAATTTACTGTTTGTATTTTGAGAACGATTTCCGAAGTGGAATTTGAACGTCAATAAACGTATTTTTATCTTTAATTGTGGCTTATTCCCAGTTAAATAGTAATTAATTCTACTAAAACTGTACTGGCGACCCAGACATTATGAAATGCGAGGTTGAAGATACTATAAATAATGCTAAAATTAGACAAGCTTGTGGTCTAGATGATACATCAACTTAGTTGCTAAAACTAATAGAGGATGATAACATAAAAGTAGCAGTAAGACTTTTTAATTCAATATATAACACCGGAGTGATTCCCACAGATTTGCTAAAGTCCAACTTTGTCACAATACCTAAAAAACACAATGTGAGAAAATGCTCAGAATATCGATTAATTAGGCCAATCAGTCACACTCTTAAAATTTTCCTAAGAATACTTCACAACAGAATTAGACGCAAATGTGAAGATCTCCAAATTCTGCTTGATCGTATTCACGACGTAGTAGAGAAAAGGGCATTAAATTAAACTCAAACAAAACCAAATTTTTAGTTTGGTCGTGACCCACATCCCGATGCAAAGCTTCAATTAAACGGAATCCAAGTTGAGAAAGTTCACAAAATGACATATTTGGGAACTGTGATAACGACCAACTAGATCCAGACATAGAACTAAAACGTAGAATAGCAATGACGTAAACTAATTTTATGAAAATGAAGTTATTTCTTTACAATATTCATCTCAAATTAGAACTAAGACAAAGAATGGTTAAGTGCTAAGTTTGATCAGTATTTTTTTATAGTGCAGAGGTGTGGATCATGAACATAATTGACACATTGGAAATGTGGATATGTAGACGAATGCTGAAGATACCTTGGGCAGCAAAGAAAACTAATAAAGAAGTACTAATGCGCGTCAACAAAATAGAGAAGACTGTTAAACATTGAAAAATGTCTTATTTTTAAAGTCGGTATAAAATATTACAACTGATCCTTAAAGGCAAAATAGAGGGCCGTATAGGTGTAGGAAGAAAACAAGTTTCGTAAATAAAAATTCGTGAATGGACTCAGATGTCAAATGCAGGACAATTATTCCATATTGCACAATCTCGGATAATTCTGATATCGCATGCGAAGAAGAAGAAATTCAGACAAAACTGGCTAATATCTACAGAGCCGCAAAAGAGGTATAGCCGGGAAAACTATAATCATCTGCACAGATAGCAGACAAGCGCTACTAACCTTGAATAGATTACATGTCACATCAGGGTTACTAATAAAGTGTCACGAGTCACTAACTTAAGCTTCGGATAGTAATACCATTATCCTAAGGTGAGTTAAATAACACAATAGTAATAAAGGCAATTGCTAGGAAGGCAGCAAGCCTAAGACTCTTGGACCTGGAAATCTTTTTAGTCGGCCACCTACAACAATCTCGGAAATGGTCAAATGTCACTTAAAGTGACAGTCAAAGAAGGGCAAAGATGTAGACTTGTCAAGGTAACACTAAGTAACTTTAAAAATCAGCATCAAAGAAGTACTTTGATGTATGATCAATGACCAGGAAAAATCTACGCTTGACAGTTGATTTTTTAATTGGTCATTGTCAACTCAGTAACCCCTTCCATATACTGGGGCTAGTAAACACACCCCTATACAGGAAGTATGAACAAGAAAACGAAGCTGTGAAGCATGTCCTATGTGAATGCTTTGAGTTATCCTTAATACGTGAGTACGCGATTGGCGAGACCTGGTCCACACCTGCCCATATAAGGTATATGTCTCCTGGTGACTTATCTACCTTCCTAGATGGCAGGATGAAGAGTGAACTAAGGATAACAGCTCCCTGGAATGGGTTAATTGTGGTTTAAGTGCTGTGGAACCTAACTCGCACTCCCTACTCTAAGACCTGTATAATAGCAGAAGCTCATCTTTAAAATGAATATATTAATTAAAGATTGTTGCATTATCTTTACACTTATCTCTTAAATTAAAACTCTGCACTGTGATCCAGTGGTAAGGCCGTTAGCCCTTAGCATCCAAATTTTTAAATGTAAAGAACGGGCCATTATGAAAACTATATAACTTGTTATATAAAATCATAAAGATTGGGCAAAAAGTAGAAATTAAGAACAAATAAATAAAAAAGTATTTTTCAATTGTTAATAATGACCTTTGGTTTTTTTTTTCTGAAAAATATATATACAAAGTTTTCATGCCAATACCGATGCTATAGCGGCCAAATTTCAAAATGATTTACTTTAAAAATAATATTAACTCACCTGAACTATTCCTTTGCTAATCCAAGATACAGACACGAACAATTTCTCCTTTAAATTCATATTACATCCAATTCCAACCAAAACTGTTACTGCTATACGGACCAAGACAACAATCGCCAATATTCCAAAAGAGACTAGTACTACGTTACCATCCATCTCATTTATTTTTATTCTGGATCCCGTTATTCCGAACAAAATCGGCTGGAAAATCATCCAAAATATTTCAAACGCCAAAGCTGCTGGGTTTTCTTCTACATGCCATCCCTGTTTAGACCAATTGGTCAGGGCCACAAATGCAGCTGTGACACATATTAAAGGACCTGCTCCACCATATCCTACTAGTTCACTACCAAAGACTCCAGCAAGGCCGCCAGAAAGAAGAAGTAGAATTCTCAAAGGTGATGCAAATGGATCGTTTCTTTCAGGTGTAATGTTACAAATAATTCCCCATATTACACCTATACCAATACCTACAAAAGAAAAAAAATGTATAGTACAATCTAAAAAAGTTGTAATTAGGGTACTAATTACAACTTTTTTAGTAATACTGTAACGAAATAGCCCATCTTCGATGCGTGGTACGTGTCACAGTTCTTAGAAGTATGCATCGAGAATATTCGATCGTTGGCATTCTCGCTGCGCTTTCCATGTGAAGGATAGATTTGGACAACTCCAGAATATTATTCTAGTACATAATAACTTGTATATATATATATATATATATATATATATATATATATATATATATATATATATATATATAATGTAACGAGAATATTAGGTTTTTAGTGGAAAATATATTTTTGTGCTGTAAACCCAATTATATTGTTACGATTTTAAATGTTATGGCGTATAGAACTGTAAATATTTTATGACTAATTCTTTTTTATTGATTCTCGTAATTTGTAGGTCAAAATCTACCTGAGACACGTTGGGTTCCCCTTCGCTATAACAGCGACGAATACGAGTTTTCTGGAACCGCTTCGATACCAGTTGTTAGATCATTGCCGCTATGTCTACGAGAGCCTCGTAAATACGAGATGATTCTATGGTGTTCCACTATAATGTAGAAGGTCGCCGAACTTTCCAGATAGCGGAAGTTTTTGTATATAAACGACACATTTTTATTTGTTAGTCAGTCATAAGAAGATCGGGAAACGCGATTTACTTGTAACGAAACGTAACAAATAAATTTGTACAGCTATTTAATAAATTAGTAATTAGCTATCATGAGTTTTAATAAATTAGAATATAGACAATAAATTAGAATAAAGACAAATAAATTAGAACTATATAAATACACAACAATATAAATTATATAAAATTAATTTATATATATATATATATATATATATATATATATATATATATATGTATATATATATATATATATATATATATATATATATATATATATATGTATATATATATATATATATATATATATATATATATATTTATATAAATTAAGAACCGCTCGTTTTATTTAATAAACGGTACAATTGGTATCCGGTGTGAGGATAATTGATTTATTTGTAAATAAATTTAGCAGTGACTTTTGAAAAAGACTTTTAAACTTTTGAAAAGTATTGCTCGTCGGAAACATCCACGTAGTTCATCCTGTAGTGATCTTTGTAAAAAAAGAACATTTAAAAGGTACGTGTGTGCCTGACCAAAGATGCGGATTGCAGAACTTTTAGTAAAACAGTGGCTTGAGCAACTAGAAGAACGCGATTAAGACTGCAGCGGGTCCAAGAAGATCCTCCAACAACGAGCAAGTGAAAATTTGCAAGAGTTTAAAGCAGAATATGCTCGTATAGTGCGATTGGCTTATCCGGAGGTACCAGACAACACTTTGAAAGAAATTGCTGTAAATACCTTCGTCAATGGATTAAAAGAAAGTGAATTATAGACAGTTTTATGACTAGCAAGACCGAACGATGATTCTAGATGAAGCGCTTGCTATTGCCTTGGAACATGAAACAGCTAGTCAAACTTCACGAAGCCATCGAGTAAGAACCATTGAAGAAGGCGACAAATAGTATTCATTGGCCAGACTACAGTGAAACATAGAGTATTAATTGCAGAGATCTCCGACGAATTCATATTTTGTATGGATTTACTAAGAAAATTTGGGGATGTATTGAATGTCAAAAATGGAGTTCTCGAGATCAATGGTGAAGAGGTGCCGTTTCATGAAGACAAAGATGTTATTAGCTTAATAACTACTTATGATGTAACAATACCCGATAATAGTGAGAAAATTTTTATGACCAGACCTGATGGTTATTGCCGAGAGGAAAGTTTAATGATGGTCTAAGATGTGGACAATGCCCAGTTCCTAACGGAAAAAACTTTGGTGAGAATTCGAGATGTTCCTGTAAGAGTTATGAATTTAAAGTCTACTGCTATTAAGTTAAATAAAAGAACTTTGATCGAACAGTGTGTTTCCGAGGCTTAGATTTGTTCTATGGATACTAATCAGAAATCATCAAAATCTAAGTTTCTTTTTGAGATGGTGATTAAAACGTGCCAAGGTCTTGATGATGAACGAACTAAGAAAGTGGAGTCTATGCTAATAGAATTTCAAGATGTTTTTGCCATTGATAAGAAGGATAAGGACAAAACAAGCATAGTAACGCATAAAATTAATATTGGAGATGCTCAGCCAATCAGACAAGGACTTAGACGACTTCCATTTGTGAAAAGAGAGGAAACCGAAGATATCATCAAAGACATAAACAAACAAGGTGTAATTGAACCATCGAACATGGACATGGACATTACCATAGACATTACCAATAGTTCCAATAGTAGTTTCCACACTTGATCGAAAAAGTGGATATTGGCAAGTAGACATGAAGCCAGCTGATCGAGCTGGCTAAAAAAAAATTGTAGTTTTAGATTATAGTTATTGTATTCCTTACCTGCTAGTATGGAAAGGCTTCCGAAAATAATTCCTTTGGCGACACTCGCACCGTTAAATATAATACCCAATACAACTCCAAAAATGGCTACCGAGAGTGCATCGTCGATACCTGCGACTGCTATAATTAAGGTTGGAATGCCTTTCACAACTCCGTATCCTTTTGAACGAAGTCTAAAGAGACATGGGACTACAACGGCTGGAGCAACAGCCGCTATTATGCTACCTGAAATAAATTATAAGTATAAACCACTAATGGTAAAAACATACAAAATTAAAATTAAAGTTAAAAAGAAAGAAGTCCCATTTCCTCAATGCATTAGGCTGTTAACATAGTTAGAGCTGTATATTATATGGAAGAGATTTAGTACAAGTAAATATATACGGCGGATAAGACAGCTGGAGGTTACTGGGCCATGAAAATGAATACGAACTAAACCATCCAACCAAAAATAATTACAAATAAAATATGAAAAAATATACTAAAAACTCTCTATATAGATAAATCAAATAAAGAACTCCTGGAGAACATGGTCACTGATTCACATCCAAACGTTAGTGTCTGCTGTATATATACTTAAAGATATTTAATTTTATTCGTTTTGAAAGGCTGCTTTAAAAGTGCGGTATTATTTACATCATCCATAAATGTCCGGCTTAACCCTACATATTGCTTTAATTCGTTTCCAGTAGTAAATAATTATTGTGATACACTATTCTTGTGTATGACAAAGTTATTCTGTTATTTTTGTATATATTCTTTAATGTCTACTTATTTTACTCTGGATGTATCTTCTATGCAGTATATTGGTGCCTCCTCAAAAGATTTTTCTAGATCTATATATTCAAAATATACACTTTTCTTCTGTTGTATACCCATATGGGCGGGCCACGTCCTAAGGTCAAATAACGAAAGACTTCTGAACACCACATTCTGGGAAAGGCCCGATGGCAGAAGGTCAGTTGGCCGCCCAAGAAAGAGATGGAAGGACGCAGTGGCCAGTGATCTACTTAAAATGGGAGTGCAGCAGTGGGAAATAGCTGCTCAGGACAGACAACAATGGAAGGAAATGGTAAACGCGGCCAAGACTCACCTACAGTTGTAGAGTCAAATGATGATGATGATGATGATGATGTATACCCATATGTTATCTTATATGCTTGCTACCTTCCTAAATCCACTTTGTGATTCTTCTAGTCTATATTTGGTTCGAAACTATTTTATTATTTAGTACTTGTTCAGACATTTTCATAGCTATACTTATAAGTGTTATTCCTCAAAGTTGCTACAGTTTTCTCCTTTTTCTGTAAGTGCCTTATTCCTTAAGAACATTGGAGACCAGTAGCATGATCATAACTTTGTCCGCAATGATGCTAAATAGTCTTGTGGTGCTGATTTCATACAATTGGCGGAGGTTTTTGTACTAAGATGTTCTTTGTCGTCTTAGAATACATTTTTCTTCATTTGTTCCCAAAGTACGTACATCTAGTAACTCATATTTAGGATTTCTCATCACATGAGAGAAAATATTTTGATTTTCTCCTTTTTACGGTATTCAGAACCTCTCTTTCTTTATTTAGACTCAGCAAAACTGTTTCATTGGTCACTGTCTATCTACGATATCTGCATCATACGGCAGTTCGCGCACATCTCTAAAGCTTCAATTTTATTACCCAATATTTCAGTTGGATTTCTTGCTTCCATTTCATATAACAGAATGCTGAAGAGATAAAAACGTAATAACCGCATTCTTGAAGAAATTCTTAGCACTTTGTTGGTTATTACATGCACTCAGTCGCCTCATGATCACCTGAGAAAAACGATTGGTGGAACTATGAGACCATGGCTGAAATGTTGGTTTTATCTCAAGTAATTTTGACTGTTTTGTGCTATCTGCTCTTCCATATGTTAACTATTTTGCTGCGAAAATACAATTTGAGATCTGTAGCTGGAGTTTTTAAAAAGAACTCAACAGTTACGTCCTCTAAGACTTATTGTCTTATATTCCAATATGAGATGGCATAGAAAAGTAATATTTCTGTGATTTAGATTGTGCAATTCTTGTCTAATGAGTTTGACCACATAATGGGAAAAATGGAACACATCATCTCTATGATGATAACGAGAAAATTAAGCGAGTCTGTAATTATTAAAATTAGAATTATTAGTTATTTTAGGACTGTTTGTAATGTGATATATGGCTTTATATATATATATATATATATATATATATATATATATATATATATAACTATATGACTGGAGGCCAACCATCTGGAGTGTAGATCTTATGACAACTCTACTGGCCCTAGGGTATTGACTGAAGGCCAAGTGCTTTTGCTAGAGTGTTGATTCAGTGGCAGTTCCATTCCCGGTTGTAGTATTAATCAGAGACAAACCTATTCTTTCCCGTGACTAAGTGTTGATTAGTCACTTTCTGCTCATCGCTGGACCGAGGGTTGATTCGCCCGTACCATCTCTATTCCTCTGATATGTCCTTCATTTCTTCGCTAAGTGTATATAGACATATAATAATTGTAGTTTCAATTTTATAATATTAATTGTATTTTATTTTTTGCGGGTATTCAACAGTGATTCAATATTCAGATTCAGTATTCAACAGCATATTCGTTGATGACGTCGCCTTAGAAATAACATTTGATTTCTATTATCTTGAATATAATTTTGTTTTGTATTTTTTTATTTCAAATATATTTTTATTTTAATTTAACCTTTTTTTACTGAGTCTGCTATCTAAAAGAGCTATCCGTTACATTATTAAGGTCTAAAGCATGGCTGCGGTAGAGTACCTTCATTTTTTAAGATATATTTGAATGAGGCGTATTTTTCTCCAGTATGAAGAAAAATGGGATGTTTTGGTTGAGGACAATGGGGTGGTAGGTAATTTTCTTTGAGTATTTAATAAATACTCTTTTTTTGGTAATTGGACTAATTACTAAATTTATCATGTATTTGTTTACATTTTTTTAACTATTAACAAACAATTTTTTGAGACTTGTTATTTTAATACCATATAACTTTTTTGAAATATCTTTTTGAAAATGTAATATTTTTTATAGATTATAGGTAAATATGTCGATTTTATAATTTGCTTTGTTAACTCTTTGATGCGTTTTCTGACATGTTTTTTATTGCTCTACGTGAAAAGTCAATCTAATGTTTAATTAATGTAATCTTGAGACCTTTTATAAGTCTCAGGTTAAGTCTTAGTGAGAGCGCCCACCAAAGTGGCGTGGCACATAGCACGTAGCAAGTAGCACGCGTCTAGCATGTTACTTAAAATGTAACCAATGAAAACGAATGATTCAGCGCACACCAAAATGACAGTGACGTCATTCGATCTAATAATTCGTTTGCATTGGTTATATTTTATGTAACATGCTAGACGCGTGCTACTTGCTACGTGCCACGTGCCACGCCACTTTGATGCTTACATATCTGTTACTATTCTATTAATCGCATTCTCGCCTGCTCCCAATAACGCTGCCGAATTGAGCTGTCTTCGTTAAGTCTTGGTGAACGACAAGCTTTTTACCATCCACTCTTGTTAGCTTTTTTAATACAACAGAATCCAACAATACGAATTGAATAATTTAGTAGTACTTACCTAATAATAATGAATATTTCCAACTAGTACCTAACCAAAATTTGGCTAAAACAACAGTTAAACAGGCTTCTGTTGTCCATGGAATTACTGATAATTTTAGTACGGTAAATTTAAGTCTATTAACAGCAGTGGGATCCAGATCCAATCCTGCTCGAGTTAAAATTATTACCAGAGCAACAGCACTAAAAGATAAATTATTAATAAATTAGTAACACATTAGTCAACATCATAAAAGTTATAAAAAACATCATAAAAATTTTAGTCAACATCATCCTTGAAAAGAAATATGAATTACCAATTTATTATTTTTTACAACGCTCTTAGTACAAATTTGGTTTTTTTTAAATATATTTTTATTCCTAACCTTTGTTAAAGTTTAGTTTATTAGCTTAGTAATATTTAGAAAGTTGTTTTATGTATTGGTGACATTTCTTCTGTACTTATTTGCTTAAATTCTGTACTAGAAGTTGGAGTTTTATATTATACAGAGTTTTATATTAAATTTGGGACGTTCTAATTGGACATTTTAAAAAAACTTGAGATAACTAATATCCTAAAATTTGGGATATAGAGTTTTTGGATATGTTCATTTATTATAAAATATTTTTCAAGCCTCTTACCACTTCTGAATATACAGGAAGTTAACTAAAACTATCGTATTTTAAATATATTTACTTCCTGTATAAAACTGCGGATTTATACAAAAAAGTTCTTACGAATTATCTTAATATAAAATTATGCTACATTATACTAAGTGTTTTACAAGATATAAGGAACTTTATTTTAAAACACCGTGTATATTTATTTTTATTTGTATCACTGATTTGACACCGTGTACCTACCTATATTTATAAATCATAAAAATGCAAACATTTTGTTTGTTACAAATTTTATTATCATGGTCTATATTAATATAATGTTCTGTGAATAGAGTAATTTTTAATATACTAGGTTATTCAATATGCCAACTTAAAAATTTCTTAACTTTCTTAAATAAATCACCTTATATAATACGACGTAACTAGAAATAACTTTAATTAGCCTTTAAGGTTTTGTTTTCTATAGGTTTTGTGAAGTACTGTCTATATCTTAATGTATCGGTTAACAACGTACATTTTTAAGCACTAATAATAATGTCAACTAAAATTCCCATGGCACGCTAAACAATAATATTCTAATATTTTAATATTTGTTAAATTAAAGTATGGGAAGCAGTTAACAAAATTATCTTCCATTTAAAAATTATTGTTGAGAAATTTTTAGTTTTTAGTTTTGTATATCTTTGTATATTAAACAATATTTTATCCACAAAATGGACTATATTTAATAAAATATTGTTCTAAATAAAATGTTGGCAATGTTTTTACTTAAAAAAATTGGTCATATTTTGTAAAACACTCGGTAAAAGGTAGCATAACCTAAAATTAAGAGGATTCTCAAGAACTATTACCTAAAGTACCTAAAATCGCAATTACATACAGCACTTTACATTTAAAATAAGGAAGTTTCAGTCAACTTTCTGTGTAGTTGGAAGTGGTAGGAGTCTCTGAATATTTTAGAATTATTGTGCATATTGAAAAATCCTACAGTCCGTCCCACACCCTTCTTTCCGTGCGTCATAAGTGCCGAATTCTCTCTAACGCATTAAGCTAGAAGTGACAGAAAACAACGTGAGTCTGTGATTATTATACATAGAAAATTACGTATCGTTCACGGGTATTTGCATATTAGAGCGAATTCTACTTACGGATGTATAATTGGTTAGAGTTTGAATACGCTAAATAGATATCCAATCAATGATGCACAAAAATATAATTTGACGCAGATGGTCTCGATCGTGACAGTACTTTCACAATGTCAACTGAAAAAATGATAATTGCCATTCCAGGTGCCATTCCAGGATAATTCAGACATTTTATAGTAAAAATTTAATTTTGTATTTATTAATTATTATTTATAACTGGGAATAAGCCACAATTAAAAATAAAAATACGTTTATTGACGTTTCAATTTCCAATTCGGAAATCGTTCTCAAAATACAAATGGTAAATTAAACAAATTTTGTTTTTTTGTTACATAGTGAAAAAATTCTTCTAATAATTTAATTTTATCTGACTCATTTATATTGACAATTCAGACATACATTATGCATTTTAAAGTAGACGACTTTAAAATGATATTGCCAATATTGTTGAGTTGCGTTCCTGGGACGACTTTACTTATAAGATAGTTCATTCGATTACATGAAATCAACTTTAACTTGAGAATATCCGTCAGAAAAAATCATAGCATGTAATTCGTCTTTAAAAAGACAAATACATGACATGATGACAGTGAAATTCTCCTGTTAGTGATTCCATAGTAAATTATGAGGGAAAACCAGGAAAAAAACCTCATAATACTATCCCGACATTGTAAGTGTTTGTTCGTGAATTTAGTTTACCTTCAACAAACATCAAAATTCTGATTTTATATGTTACGTAATTTAAAAAACATAAATGATGTATCCTCTATATGTTACTGACTTACTAATACTGGTATTTTCTTATTAATAACTTCCTCTTTCAATATTGGTAACCAGATCCTACTACATTCTGCCGAGGAATTTGCGACACAATTGGCCTCATTTAGCATAATTAGAGCCGCTTCTTTGATTTTTCTTTTTTTACCATCCGTTTCTTTTAGGACTATATTTGAATTATTCCATTGAACTCTATGTTCATTATCCCATGCGTGTTTGCATATTTGAGATCTATCAAATTCTCTATTTTTAATATAAGATTGATGTTCACTTATTCTAACATTTAATGGCCTTGATGATTTACCTAAATAAAACTGATCGCATTCACAAGGTATTTTATAAATGCAATTATTTGTCCTTTCTTGTTCATTGTTAGGTTTGGTTTTGGACAAAATAGATCTCAACGTGTTTGTTGTTTTGAATGTTGTTGAAATGTTGAATTTATTTCCTATCCTCTTAAGTTCTTCTGATAATCCTTTTATGTACGGTATTGTTATTTTCCTCATATTATTCCTTGTGTATGCTGTAGGATCTCGTTCTAAGTTGTTCTGTTCTATTCGATCGATTGTTGAAAATTCCTTATTTATAAACGATAAAGGATAATCATTTTTTAATAAAACAGATGTTAACAAATGTTTCTCCTCCAAGAACGAATTTTCGTTAGAACAAGTAATTTTGGCTCTATCGTATAAGGATTTAAAAACTTAAGAGGATAGGAAATAAATTCAACATTTCAACAACATTCAAAACAACAAACACGTTGAGATCTATTTTGTCCAAAACCAAACCTAACAATGAACAAGAAAGGACAAAGAATTGCATTTATAAAATACCTTGTGAATGCGATCAGTTTTATTTAGGTGAATCATCAAGGCCATTAAATGTTAGAATAAGTAAACATCAATCTTATATTAAAAATAGAGAATTTGATAGATCTCAAATATGTAAACACGCATGGGATAATGAACATAGAGTTCAATGGAATAATTCAAATATAGTCCTAAAAGAAACGGATGGTAAAAAAAGAAAAATCAAAGAAGCGGCTCTAATTATGCTAAATGAGGCCAATTGTGTCGCAAATTCCTCGGCAGAATGTAGTAGGATCTGGTTACCAATATTGAAAGAGGAAGTTATTCATAAGAAAATACCAGTATTAGTAAGTCAGTAACATATAGAGGATACATCATTTATGTTTTTTAAATTACGTAACATATACAATCAGAATTTTGATGTTTGTGGAAGGTAAACTAAATTCACGAACAAATACTTACAATGTCTGGATAGTATTATGAGGTTTTTTTCCTGGTTTTCCCTCATAATTTACTATGGAATCACTAACAGGAGAATTTCACTGTCATCATGTCATGTATTTGTCTTTTTAAAGACGAATTACATGCTATGATTTTTTCTGACGGATATTCTCAAGTTAAAGTTGATTTCATGTAATCGAATGAACTATCTTATAAGTAAAGTCGTCCCAGGAGCGCAACTCAACAATATTGGCAATATCATTTTAAAGTCGTCTACTTTAAAATGCATAGTGTATGTCTGAATTGTCAATATAAATGAGTCAGATAAAATTAAATTATTAGAAGAATTTTTTCACTATGTAACAAAAAAACAAAATTTGTTTAATTTACTATTTGTATTTTGAGAACGATTTCCGAATTGGAAATTGAAACGTCAATAAACGTATTTTTATCTTTAATTGTGGCTTATTCCCAGTTATAAATAATAATTAATTTACAATGCCACAAGAAAATAGCTTCAGAACAATATTTGTATTTATTGTTACAAAAATATTTTAAATATGCCGAGATATACCGAGAAAGAACAAAGACTAATATTAAAACTACTAAATTATTTTCAATTAGAAACGAGGCTGGGACAACTTTATTACTTGTTTCTGCTATTCGTGAAGTAAGTTTTAAATGATTCTAAATAATATTAATAGTATTTTAAATACTATACATTTTAGCGTATTGCCGAGGCGTTAGGAGTTTCGTTACCGAAAGTTAGACGATTTTCAAATGAAGGCATTCAAACGTGTCAGGCATTCAATGAGTACGTACGTCAGTATGTGATAATCTAGGACCTTCATTAACCAATAAATATGAACATGTTATTTGAACTCGTGTCTATTAGAACTATTTAAACCATTTTCACTATTTAGCGATAAATCTTCACAAAATTAAACTATTGGCTGCCACAGAAACTTATCGCAAAATTACTTATCCGATATGACTGATTTAATCAACACTATTTTGTCACAGGAATTTTTGCCTTGATGCCTTGCAATTGCCAGTAAATTTTTTATCTCGCAGTCAACTCTTAAAATTCTAGGAGGAAGCGGTATTTTAAATAAACAAACATTCCAATTTCATGGTGTTTGTAATAAATAATAATAAATCCATAAATAAATATTAGCTAATTAAGGATTTTTCTTGGAATGTATAGAATAGGATATGTGACAAACTGCCGTTCCAATATAATGCACAATAAAAATTTATATACAGAACGGGACCTCTAATATGTAAATTAAAAAAAATTGAATTGTTAAAGTTTTTATTCCACATTTCAAAAAAAATAACATTTTTACATTTAGCCAATTACGATCCTGCAACTGTCAGATTTAACTAAAATGTCATGCAATAATTCTCG